GGGTAGCTGCAAAGACTCCCCTTTTGTGCTTCGCACACGAGAGTCAAAAATGGCTAAATGTTAAATAAATACATTTGATTAATAATAAAATTTAGCTTAAAACAAAATCCTTCAATTCCTTGTCATAATTTGACATATTATATCCCCCTACCTGGTCCTCCTGGTCCCCCTGGTCCTCCAGGTCCATCTGGTCCACCAGGCCCATTGGGTCCCAAAGGCCCGCCAGGACCACCAGGTCCACCTGGTCCACCTGGTTCTCCAGGTTGTGGCCCTGAATGGAATATAGTGTTGTTAGCTTCTCAACATAAATAATATTGTATGCAATAATAAAAATGTTAATTTACAGATTTAGTCTCTGTCTGGAATCATGTGAATGGCATGGAAATGATGACTAGATACATACACTACATACACTACAAAGATTTTGTTATATGTTTCACATTACAAATATAACTTTTCACACATGCAATGGAAACCCCACAGGCTTGAATGGTTGTATTTCAAATTGTTTATTAAAAATGATACCAGAATCATAAAACCTTTAACACCACATGCAGTATTTTTTTTTAAAGATTTAACTATACTTCAAATTTTCTAGTTTGTGAGGGTAGCAATACATTTCATTATTAAAATTGAATATTTGCTTATAGTTAAAGTGAAGACCATATATTAAGCAAATATAATCACAATTAAAGCCAACTCAACCCAAGTTTTATGGACTTCAAGGTAAATAAATGCATGAGGTTATAAATGGCAAACAAGGGTATTTGGTAATGAATATAAAACCTCTCTGGGGAAAATTAGAATATTTGGTGGGAGATAATAACTGAGCGTAAGAAAAAAAATGTGCTCATTTTTAGCTAATCTTGATTCAGTTTGATATTTAAGCCAGTTTATTCAGTTTCAGAGAGGGATCACAGGTCTTGTAGTGCCAGATATAAGACCTTGCTTCAGCTCTTCAGATTGCTAGATTCAGATTAACCATGTTATAATAGTTTAATGCTTATGGTAATACTTTTTCCTTTCCATATCACCCTTCAATCATGGTCAACATGGTTTACATCCATACAAATTATTATCATGATTGTTTTGAAAAGAGAACCCATTAACGTTCAATCCAAAATTATCTGATATTACGATTTGACTGTATTAACTATTTGAATGTCATATGTTTTATTGCCGAAAGTGTGGTGGAACATTCTGAATTATATCTCTACAATTTCGTAGTTAACTTTCCATCAAATGGAAATAATTTTCTATGGGCTACAGGTTCATATTTAGATAAACAAATAGGAAGAACCTAAAGTAATTAAAGCGAGGGAGTCATCACCTGCGCATGTGTCAGATGGCCTTAGCGTGTCATTATTTACAAACAATCGTCTACCCATGAGCCTTTGCATTTTTAGCAGGTGAGACCCTCCCGCTTTAAAGTAATTGTGAATTGTTACAAAAGTTCAAAGGTTAACCAAAATTCTGCTAAGGCTGGTTTGAAGAATTATGGACTGAACACAAGCTCAAGCTATAGTTATCATAGCATGAAATACAACTGATGTACCTGTCGTTGGTATTTCTTCTTCTAAATACAAACATCTGCATTCGTCAACCCCAACACATTCCCCATCTTGCAATACCTTATCATCAGGGCATTCACATCCACCAACACATTCTGAGAAAAAAAAATTATATTTATAATTAATACTGTAACAATAGGTAAACTGATATGTATATTACGAGGTCATATCAAGCTGAGGGTTACATTTCCATCATGTAAATACTTTTTCATTGTTCGAACTACAAGGTTGTGCAATATGTTGAAACTTTTCATAGATGTACCAAATATGAAAAAAATAATTAGAAATTTATATTATTTCATTCATGTATATGTTAATTAAAATATCAAAAGCAAAAACAACTATGGCAAAAAATAACCCCCTTGATAAAGAAATCACCTTCCGCTATGCATTCAACATCTGCTTGGATGTCTAAACATGTTCTGTGGCATGCATCCATACATTCGTTAAGTACCAAACCTTCATCACATTCTAAAAAAAATGAAGAGTATTATGTTGGTTAGTGTAAACTGTATGTTTCAATAAAGTTGATATAACATTTATCATTAGTACTAGGGCTCTAAGGGAGATTCTTTCAGGAAACATTCACTATGAGCACTATTGCATGATGGTTAAACAGGTGCCAACTGACCTTAAACTAAAGTGGCCACTAAAATTTGTTGAGAACAAGATAGATATAATAATAATAATAATAATAATAATAATAACAATAATAATAATAATACATTTTTTGCATCTTTATATAATACATATAATACTGATCAGAAGTAAAATGTCAGTTAATGTTATTTCTGATCTCGAATATTTTGTATAAGTATTCACCAATACTTATTAAATATGTGTTCTCTTGAATATATATTTAAATATCTGGACATCGCTTATTAATTCTTTTGGAATATTGTTTTTATTAAATAACTTTTGAATTTGTGTTCCATGAAGAAATCTTCCTCATTTTTATCTGGGAAGGAAGTTTTGGGTTGAGTACATTGTATCTCTATGTTATGAAACATGTTTTGTCTCTTATAATGTCATCTTTTATCTTTATCACATTCCTCTAAAATATTATGTAACCGTGGTCATGTATTAGGCACTGTACAGTGAAATTAATGTCATGTGAGAAAGATCAAAGCATAATTTAAAGGACAAAAAAGTCACTCTACTGCTTTCAATGAGATATCTGTAGCCATTTGCATCTTAGGGTCTTTTCAGTAAAACAATCGGAAACCCATTGTTTAACAATCATGAACATAAATATATTAAATATATTTGTTAAAATTTTTACAATCTACTTGTTATTATTACCTTCACATTGTTGTGGTGCTACACATGTTGTAGCTTGCACTGCACTGCCAGGGCATTGTAGATCTGGGTCATTGGACGATGGTGATGGATTGTTGCATCCCCGAGACCTTACAATTTCCCCTACACCACATGTAATTGAGCAATCTGACCATGGTCCCCATGACGACCACTCACCAGGAACTATAAAATGCAAGAAACACAGTAAATAAATCGATACAGTAAACATATAAATGTGAATGAATTTCTGAATTGTTCAGGTTA